CCATGTCCACATTTTTTATTATAATTATTACTTCATCAGGATTTATTATTTTACTTTCTTTGGCGTTTCGAAGCTTAACATTTATTTTACATTTTTATTTTTCTATTTAGTCTGTATGCCTAATATATATATATATATATATATATATTTTATTTTTTTTTTTACGACTATTTTATATTATTTATTGATTGCTATTATTAAGACATTAAGCTTTATATCTGACGAGGATTCGCTTACACCAAGGTCGAGTATAAGAAAATAAGTGAAGGAACAGATGGAGTAAAATTCCACTGTTCTTGGCATTTACTTTTAAAAAAGTGCTCAATACAAAGTAGAGCAATATATTATTTTTTATTATAAGAGATAATAAAAATATGTTGAAATCGCTGCACAAAAGCTTTCATGTTTCAATACTTTGATTTGTACTTCAGGCGATGGTAAGTAACTGTAACTTACCATCGCCTGAAGAAGTACAATCATAGTATTGAAACATGAAAGCTTTTGTGTAGCGATTTCAACGTTTTTATTATAATCTCATATAATAAAAAATAATATATATATATATATATTTATACTAAACATGGGTTATATGTAGCACAAGGCCGAAAGTAGGGAGCACACATGAGGATCGAACTCCCTACTTAGTTGAAAATGATCTAGCGAGACAAGGTTGTTAACCATTACACCACATCGGAGTGCCTATATATATATATATATATATATATATATATATATATATCACACTTTGTTTTTTGCCTCTAGCATCAAACTGTGGAGTGATTCCAGTTGTAGTGATTTTGAGGTTCTCACCAGTGGGGAGTTCAACTGGGAAACGGTACCTGAAAGAATTACAATCAGCTGTAGAGTAAATCTGTAAATGGAATTAAACCACTAGCAGTATACTCAGGCCTGTGATGACACGGCATCAATGGGCAGATGGCGTCCTAGTCTGAAATCAATGGCCAATGAACCTTCAAGTGGGAAGTTGGTCTGACCTGGACACAGAGAGATGGGCTCCACCAGATTTACTTACGCTACGCTTCAATGAATACCTCTCCGACCTTTTCGAAGCAGACATTGGCATGCAATCAGAACATGTGGTGGAATCTGGTGAGGCACTCAGCTGCGCAGAAACCCTTTGATCACTTCCGGTCAGGGGACTGATGATGGGGATAATTATTATTTTACGTAGGTGAATATTTTTGTATACCATAATAGAAACTGAATGTATATAGCTATATACAACCATATGCGTGAGTGAATATAATAAACCCGATTGGAATTCAAACTCAGCTCTCTGTTTAATAATTCAGAGTCATTACCCATTACATCACTCGCACATCCAAGCTTACAGCACCTGGTATTCCTAAGCGGTCACTCATCTTGGTACTGACCAGGCTCGACGTTGCTTAACTTCGGTGATCATACGTGAACCGGTGTTTCAACGCAATATCGCCGTAATGCCTAAACTGAAAGAAAATGTAAAACTTCCAGCAGTATTTTAAAATAAGTCGATCGCTTGTTCTAAAGAGAAACGTTTAGATAAATTTCTTTACGGTAGCCTAGACATGAAACAAAACCTGATTAAGTTCATTTTATTTTTCCGCACAAAAGGAATTCTTATAGAACTGAACCGGATTTTCTTTGAAATACTTACTGAACTGTAAACAGTCTTTGGCTCGGTGCGAGCCTTTAAATATTAATGCTTACAGTGTTTTACTAAAAAAAAAAAAAAAAAAAAAAAAAAAGGCTTTACACTCTAGAGTAAATTTATTACACCCCACTTAAAAAAAAAAAAAAGGGAAGAGTAATTTTACCTAATGTGTTACTAGCAACCCGCGTTAAAATTTCATGGTTTTCCTATTTGAATTTATTGATGAATCTTAATTATTGCGTTACTAATTGGATGTGGCGAACGCGTGTTAATACAGACAGAATAAACTCCCCGAGTCGATTTCATGTCTGTCGAATTAGTTAGGCATTTAGCATTCAGCTACCACTTTTTTTTTTTTAGCAATGTCGATTTTTGTGCAAAAAGAGGATCACAGAGCTTATACAGCTTCATACATATTTTCAGAAAACCTAAACTTCTAATTGGTCAGTTAATAATGAAAAATGTCCTCTACGCCCGAATAATATCGACCCGACGAAAATACATTTTCCGCCAAAAATCAAAAATACTTTTTGAAGCCTGTCTCGTGACTAGGAAACAAATAGAATGTACGAGTGAACATCACCAGTGAGAATTTACGAACGACTAGCATTTGCTAAAGTAATTCACGACAGTGAAGTACTAAGTTAGAATTTTAAGTTCTTCAATATGAAATAACTTCAATGTACTTCAAGTTAAAACAGTCAACTAAACCACTCACTCACCAACTTATTAAAACTGTTCAATCACACTATTGACTCTTACGGAAACTTAATTACGAACATTACAAGCATCAATATATTACGAATATTCAACTGCAAGCAACTAAACATTACGAAACATTCACTCCGACTTTTTTTGAAGCTAAAAGTTTATCAACATATTTTCAGGTTTACAGAATTCTTTCAATTCTCTCACAGTGAACATAAAAAAGTTAATTTTTTGTGTTTTTTTCTCTTGTTTGCTTTTCGTTTGCTTACACATTCGTAAAGTAAAAATTGTACGGATTGATTTAGGCCATCAATACCGCTTCAGGCACATAAGTGTTTTAGCAGCAGAACAGCTGGTCATATCCAGATATGGGTTTATTTGCAACTTGTCCAGACCCGGATCCTTGCCAATCGTCTCATGTCAGTAAATGCGTCTGGAAAACCAGCAGCCTGGAGTCTACTTTTGGCGAAACTCAATTTGCTATCGTCGGAGATTCGGTGTCTTCTAAAGATGTTCCCTTGACGCGTTTTGTTCCGGAAGTTGCGTACCGCCCGCCGTACTGTCGTTTTTCAAACAGAAAAACAATCTGTTACCTGTTAAGTGACCAGCCCATAACCTCAACACACACTTTCCATATTTTCCTACATTTCACAGATATAAAATGGCCATAGAAACTTAACGACAAAATATTATAATAACAGTTAAAAATATGAATGCCAGGGCCTCTGAGCAATATTTAGAAAAAAATCAATTTATTTCAATTGAGATGGATGCGAGTCAAAAGATTCAATATTAAAGAGATTTTCCATTTCACTGAAGCAACCGTTAAGCACACGAGAGCATTATCACCTCCCCTATCTTTCTTTTCTTATCCTTTCCTAAAACCAAACAGCGCCTTTGATATATCTTTTCTTCCGTATATCCTTGAAATCAAACTTGGATCAGTCCAAGGTGCTCGATATGGTCGACCATTAGTAACTGGCTGCTGTCCTGCAGGCCACCGGATTCAAACCAGACTTCTGCAAGTGGATCAGCCTTCAGTATCGCTCCCCAGTGCTGTGGTGCAGGTGAACGGGAAGCGGCCGTGCGCTTTTGCGTTGTAACGGTTGGTTCGTCAGGATTGTCCGTTATCGCCCCTACTTTATGCTATGCCGTTAGAGCCTCTCCTTCGACGGCTGAGGGATAGGGCGTGCAGAAGAGCCCTATATGGAATCGGTGTCCCTGGTGAACGTATCCATTTTCGTGTCGTGCCAGTGCGACACTGAGGTGGTGCAGAAGGCGTTCGAACGGTACGAGTAGCTCACGGAGCCAAGATTAACTTCTTCCGGCTAGGTGCTTGGAAGGGCATTGCTCTTCCGGCGCCCTTCAGTTGGACTGACGGCTCCGTCCACATTTTGGGAGTGTGTTTCGGGCTTGATAGCGGTTTTTCTTAAAGGTTAGGGCTAAGGTGTGCTTCGTGTACGTCTTTCTCCTCATCCTTTACAAGTTGTCAGTACTCGCTGATCGACCGCTTGCTGTTCTACATCTTATAGGCTGGGCGCAAGTCGAAGGACTGCAGAGAAGTCTGTGTCCAACGTCTGTGTCAAGAGGGGCTGGAAATGTCACACTTGGAGTGTCATCAACACGTCTCGAGTTTGGTTTTCCTACACCGAGCGTTGGGAGAAGATTCGCTCTGGACGACGAGTGTCAGGACCGCCTTACCACCACTCCTCCCAGTTCTGAGGCTGAATGCCCCTGAAACAGTCAAAATTCTTCCACGAGTGACGAACAGTCTTTCAGGTCCTTATATGAAAAGATAACTAAGCTACCGAGTTTCCAAAATCTAACCAGATATCAGAATGCGTTTTAGAACCGTTTTTTGGCCGAGCTGAACACTTCAGCAGCCTTTCACATAAATATCAACGAATGTGAACATTGGTGGTACCTTTTCAGAGCGGGAGGGTGGAAAATGTCTATTCTGAATCGATCTTACCGGCAACGCTGTTTTTTTAAAATCCAACGATGACAAATTCTTTTTAAAAAATGAGCATAGAATTGAAGTGACCGTTTACATGTTGAACCAAAAAGCTTGGGGCAAGCTCCATTCAGGTTCAATAGGTCAACTGCATGCCTATATCAACAAATGCAAATAAATAAATATTCTTGTCTTTTTGGATAATGCACTGCATTTCAATTTAAAATTTAATTATCTGGAACGATTCGGCTTTGATATCGACAACATGTTCACGTGAGCAAGAGGTCGTGAAGACGTTGAAGAGCAAGAAAAAAAAAGTTTATTTATTCGAAATTCGATTAGATGGGATACAATGGAATTGGAAATGAGATTTTTCAATTTTTGAACAAATTACTTGAGCGATGATAGGAAAAAACTATCAGAGATGTACGTGGTAAAATATAAAATAACATTATCATGTGTTCGGTAAATTGACC